CAAACCGCTGCGCCACCGGGGCTGCCCTGAATACACTTTTGTTCTAAACTTCTGAGATATTGGAACTGCTTATGCCACAAAATAATTTAGTCTAAGAGGTGTAGATATTCAATAAATGTTAATGAAAATAAGGAAAGCTATAGAGATATAGAAAATGAATTACAGCCGGAAAATTCTGGAGTCAATTTTGCTCAACAACAACCTTCATTTTTTTTTTTCAACAAAAACCTTCTTATGAAAACAGATAAAAATTGAATTTTCATGAATTGCTAATTAGGAGAAATAGTGGGAATTGAGGGCTGAGAGGAGAAAAGAGGAAGTGTAGATCATAGAATAGGAATATATATCTTGGTAATACAATTTGAAAAGAAAATGAAGATAAATGCTTTCAAGATACACATGTCCTTAAGATGTCTTCAGGGAGAATTTTAAGAATCTAAGTTATCTACTGGAGAGGTGTTTTGAGAATGAGTACATATTAAAGATTCCTCTGTTAGTTAAGCCAACCTAAGTAAGCTAAAAATGTTTTTCCTGTTTCAAATGTCCAAGTCACTTAGTTTCTGTAGTCAAAGAAAAACCAGAGGTCTGACTAAACAGCGCTCAAATTAAGAATAGTAAATGTACACTTGATTCTTGTTATTCAGAGTAGTTATGTTCCATAAACATGCACCAAACACAGAATTAGTGAATAATAACCATTGTCCCCAGGGGAAGTATAGGTTTAAATTGCTGTGGGTCGGGGATCCCTGGGTGGTGCAGCGGTTTGGCGCCTGCCTTTGGCCCAGGGCGCGATCCTGGAGACCCAGGATCGAATCCCACATCGGGCTCCCGGTGCAAGGAGCCTGCTTCTCCCTCTGCCTGTGTCTCTGCCTCTCTCTCTCTGTGTATGTGACTGTCATAAATAAATAAATAAAAAAGTTAAAAAAAAATTTAAATTGCAGTGGGTCTCTCATCACAATTTTTCCATAAAGTAGGCAATGCAAAACTTGCTTTATGTGTGTTCCTGTCTAAAGATAACTTTTTTAGGGCAGCCCCAGTGGCGCAGCGGTTTAGCACTGCCTGCAGCCGGCGGTGTGATCCTGGAGACCCGGGATCGAGTCCCACGTCAGGGTCCCTGTGTGAAGCCTGCTTCTCCCTCTGCCTGTGTCTCTGCCTCTGTCTCTCTCTCTGTGTGTTTCAATAAATGAATAAAATCTTTAAAAAAATAAAGATAACTTATTTAATATGTATTGTTGATTCATTAATATAACTCACAATAGTGCTCTTTACTCATACATGAATGCAATGGATTTTTTAAAAATGCATTTTCTATGTAGGATATGTCACAGCCTTCTTGCACTTGGGAACTCTAAATGTGTGCTTCGGGGTTATTTTAAACAATGAAATCAATAACAACAAAAACATGAAAATGCAAAAACCCTGATATTAAATAGATCATGAAAAGGATACTTGTTTATAATATGAAAGGTAAAACAAGAAAGCAGAGGATCATGTTGTTCAACCTCAGCTGGGAATGTGCACATGAAGAGACTCAAAATTTTTGCCACTCTGCACATGTGCAAATGATCATAAAAGTGCCATGAGTATTAATTTGGGGGATACAAATAAATTTTACCAAGTATATAAATTTGCACATACAGAATTGGCAAATAAGGGGCACCTGGGTAGCTCAGTGGTTGAGTGTTTGCCTTCAGCTCAGGTCCTGACCCCAGGATCCTGGGATCGAGTCCTGCATCGGGCTCCCCACAGGGTGCCTGCTTCTCCCTCTGCCTATGACTCTGCCTCGCTCTCTGTGTCTCTCATGAGTAAATAAATAAAATCTTTAAAAAAAAGAATCTGCAAATAATGAGGATTGATGGTATATCAAGGAATTGGAAGGAAAATAATGAAATGGATTATGGGGAGATGGGTAAAATTCCACCAGTGATTAGAGAAATTCGATATATGGATGGATGGATAGATGGATGGATGGATGAATGGATGGATGGATGGATGGATGGATGGAGATAGATCCTAATTCTAGAGAGGTACTTTAAATATGGTGTAGTTTTAGTTTCTTTTCTTATCTTCCTCCCCACTCTTTTTTTCCTTATTTGGTAAAATAGATGTCACCCAAAAGCGTTTAAGTAGTATTTGACAGTCTGACCTATCAATGTAATGTAAAGCATTAGATCATAGAAAAGTAAGCTTAAGATTTTCTTGGCATTTCATTTTGCTTTTGGATTTATTATTTCTTACTTAGAGATACCCTATCATCTTAACACAAATCTTAAAAGCACATTTTTATGAAAATGCTAATATTTAATAACCTAAAGTCAATACAACACCATCTAATTTAGCCAGCATGGAATAAAGTTTCTTGAAACTTACATAGCAGGTATTCCTCAGTAAGTTTAAATAGAATAACTCTCTTTTGTCAAATAGATATTGGAATTTTCTGTTTACATACAAACTCCATTATAATTTTTACTTTGCTGTTGAATGGAAATATCTGGAACTAAATTGTTTTAAATTCCCAACTCTAACTTATAGACTCCTAATAAAACACATTTTGCTAGATTCTTAAATATGGAGTAGAGATTTATACCTGAAAAAAAAAAGCTAAAGAACATGATGAGAAATGAGTCAATTATCACACTCTGGCATGGATACTTTTTCATGGAAATATTACCTCCAAAAAAGTTTATCAAGACAATCTTTTTACAATCCCCATTAAATTCAATGAATGAATTGTGAAGGGTAAATTGGACCCATTATAATCTTACATTTCTTATGTAATATTCATAATCATAGTGTTACATAAGAGCGATCTAGCATTAACAAAAGGAGCAATTTAAATTCCCACTTCTTTGAGAATGGGGCTCTGCTTGACAAACAGTGCTTCCTGCCCCATTTGCAGCACGCCCATGCATCTCCTCCAGCGCCAATGAGACCCACACTCTCATACCAGTGATATAATAAACCCTCCACAACAGAGGGAGAAAATGAAGCAAACAAGCCCACATCATTTCAACTTGTCAGCTTTAAATAAAATCTTCTGCAGCTGAAAATGAGGAATCTGAGGGAAGAGAATGTGTGAAGTAACCAAATTCAATACTGGGACAAAACATATTGCATGACTTATTATTTTTTTCCTGATCTGCCACAAAAGTTTTTGAAATTTCACCACAATTTTTAATGAAATATCTTTTGTCAGAGACGACTAAGATGAAGAAATGGTTCAGTTTGTTTGTTTATTTTTTTTTCTCCTCTTCCACCCACTGATGCCTTAGGAAACATCTGAAGTTACGGTAAACCCCTATGATATCTTAATGAGTAATCTGTGACCTTTGGGAAAACTCTCATTATCAGTTTTTAAGTCATAGTTGTCATAGCAGAGCATGCTGAAAAAAGTACATATTTTTAATACTTGTTTTAATTACTTATATAATACCTGCCTTAGCACTGATATTGTATGCAAAATATTGGAGCATGCTCTCCACCTACAAAAAAATAATAATAAAGACAAAAATGCATTTAAAGGAAGATAAAAAGAAATTTGCCTTCTGATAAACATATTTAATATGAATGAAAGAGATAATTATTGTAAATGTAAATCCTTTCCCTCCCCGTTCCCCCAGTGCCTGCCCACCCCCCCTGCTTACCTCCAAAAGCTTTTACTTTGCATTCAGGAGACTCCTTTCTGTTCTTCCCCTCAGCTCTCTCCAAACTCCTTCTCTTCCCTCTTTACTACTTTTTCTCAATGTTAAAATGTCCCTTGAATTTCTTTATCTTTCCTAAAAATACACTTGCATGTCTTCAAAGGAAGGACAACACCACTGTGTCCCATCAGATACTTAGTACAAGTTGTGCATCTTCCAGTGAGAGAGAGGATGGACAAGTCAGTATCTTTTGTCCTGAATGCCCCGAAGTATGCCCAATTTGATATAAACATCTTTTTATGTCCTTTATTTCCCATGTTATGTGTCACATATTTTCCAAATAAGCTTAGAATACTTTCCCCTTACTCTGTTGTAACATGAACTCTCTGCTTTCAAACTATTTTATTTTAAAATCCCTAGGTTAGGGGATCCCTGGGTGGCTCAGTGGTTTGGCACCTGCCTTTGGCCCGGGGTGTGATCCTGGAGTCCCGGGATTGAGTCCTGCGTCAGGCTTCTGGCATGGAGCCTGCTTCTCCCTCCTCCTGTGTCTCTGCCTCTCTCTCTCTCTATGTCTATCATAAATAATAAATAAATAAATATTTTTTTAAAAATCCCTAGGTTATTTTGAGTGATCATGCATAGAATGATAGTAATATTGAGGTGTATGATCCCTGTCACCTATCCTTGATGGCTTATTTTAAAAAGTTTTTAATCTGTCCAATGCAAAACATGATCTCATATGTGCATTTTAAATACAGAAGTACCATGTGACAGGAAAGAGCATATAGGACTAATAGGACTACAGTTTGAAGTGCTGAAGAATCTATATTTAACAGAATGACCATAAGCAGCAGTTTTTTTAACCTCTCTATAATTTACTTATAAAAGGTGAAAAAAAGTGAATATCACATCATAGGATGGTTCCATTAATATTAGATGTGTTTTAGAAATATTTTCATTTTTACCTTATGATCATTATAGTAGTTATTTATAAGGTAAAGCAACAGAATGAATTTAGAGTTAACTTGCCCTAGCTATTAAACATTCAGTAAATAGTGTGAATGGTGATTTCATTGCAATTTCCATGCATGTACTATATTTTACAACCAGTAAAATCCTGCCAAAAGCATTAGGTTGTTCTCCACAGTCTGGGATTTTTGAAACTGGTGCCTTCTTAGCACTCTTAGTATTGTATACTCTATGCTAAGCTTGTATCTCAGGAATCATGTAGGTATAATGTAGTCTTGTGTGGCCTGGGTAGCCATGTAAGGACTGATCTGTTCAAAAAGAAAGCAAATATGGAATCATTTGCTTAGAAGGTATCTGTTCTAAGCTGAGCTGGTTTTTGTCTCCCCACAGTGATGGCTGGGCTGACAGGTATGATGTGACAGATGGATATCAGCGAGAAGCTGTTGGTGGGATCACAATCAAGCTGCAATCTCCCGATGTCAAGTGGTTTGATGATTACTATCTGAAGCTCCGGCCAGAAACAAACCTTCGAAACCCTTGGTTTCAAGAATTTTGGCAGCATCGTTTTCAGTGCAGGCTGGAAGGGTTTGCACAGGAGAACAGCAAATACAACAAGACTTGCAATAGTAAGAAGATTTCTTGTTTCATTTATAGAGGATAATAAGGCGAAGGCTCCAATTTAAGTCAACTGTGTCATGGGGATGGTGGCTGTAACCTGTTAGAGGAGAAGACTCTTACACAAACAGAGTGGGTATTGGGCTATTTACAGTGATAAATGAACTTTATTGTCACTAAGAAAAGCATATCAGAGCAAATCTTTACTCCATGGAGATTTCAAACAATTTTACTATTTATATCATTCAAGAAATAGGTCCTGTGCTAAAAGGGTATTGTGAGATCCAGAGAGGAACCACCGTTGCCATCCTTGAAAGCAAGAACTACAGTCTGCTCATTTTGATTATCTTTAGCAGTTAGCACAGCGTTAAACACTTAGTAAGGGTTTCATATATTCTGAAGAACGAATCAGGGAATACTAAAAAACAGAGCCAATTCCTAGTGCACCAATAAACTATAACATAGTAGCAGGGATTTGTTATGTATAGTTATTATTCTTCATAATCGGAGCAGAACCATTCATTCTTTTTTTTTTTAAGATTGATTGATTGATTTGTGAGAGACACAGAGAGAGAGAGAGGGAGGCAGAGGCACAAGCAGAGGGAGAAGCAGGCTCCATGCAGGGAGCCCAATATGGGACTTAATCCTGGGTCTCCAGGATCAGGCCCTGGGCCAACCGCGGCGCTAAACCGCTGAGCCACCGGGGCTACCCAGAGCCTTTCATTCTTCCGTTCTTCGTTCTTCGAAGGGCTTGCTTACCTTGTCCCAACTACTGCTTTGGTTGTAAGGATAACAAGGTGAGGAAAGGTAGTTCCTGCCCTCAAGAGGTTTAGTGTCTAGAGGGAAGTCATGCCAGCCAGTGTTGCAATTCAGTGTTGTAAGTGATATTATAAGGGATAAACACAGGGTTTGGTTACCATTATCTGTTGCACTTTGAAAGGGAATCTTGACTCTGATAATCCAGGTAGGGCCAATATTGATCTATTTGTCCAAGCTTGTAAAAATTAAGGTTTGTTAAAATTGATAAGGGATTTGTTGAGACTGCCTTATCCCCCACATTGTGTAACAACAACAACAAAAAAAACCCATACATATTTGCATAGGAATAAAATGTTTTGGTTGATGGTAATAGGTGCCTTTATTCTCAATGCTGAAACACAGCAGTGTACTGGGGCAATGGGTTTGAAATCCTGGCCCACAACCTAATTCCTGTCCACAGAGAAGTTGTCACATACCAGCACAAAAATGAGAATAATGGAAATGATACAGAGAATTTTTCAAAATGCACTTTCCCTCCCAGTTCATATCCATCCTATGTTTTTTGGCATCAGTTCATTCTTTTGTAGAATGAATAAGAGAGTAAATGGTGATTTGTGATTGTTTTCAAATGTCAGTACTTGCTTAAATAAGAGCTTGGCAACCTTATGTCAGTTCCTATTTGGGTGGTGAGGAGGGGAGAGATGTCAGAGTATTGCACTGGTCACTGAAATCCAGAAATCACAGAAGGCTCATGGTGTGAGCCTGCATTCATTTCTCTCTCACTTCAGATGCTGTTTGTCCAAAATCTCCAAATGCTTGTTCATTTCCTTTGTTTTTATTTTTATTTTCAGAGGAAAAAATGTATAAGAATAAATAGCATTGTGACTTCTGTTACACAATTTCAATTTTTATAGCTAATTTCATATTTTTCACCAATCCATCCAGTTTTTCTGATAGAAACAGACTTCTTTCCTCTCTTGAGATTTGGGAAATTATGCCTCTTTCTGTTCCAGTTCTAGGATTGTGTACAGAGTACTATATGTCACTATATTAAGGGAGTTATAGAGGGTGAGGAATATATCTGATCTTGTCTTCAATGAGATCTTTTCCCAAGTAATTAGTGACAGTCCCTAACCAATGTGCCTAAGGGGATTTTTCCAGGTGGTCTTTACCTCTTTTGTACCAATGTTCTTTTCCTAGTCCTTTTTGTCTGAAATGCTTGCTGCTTGAAATAGTTGTTTCTCTTATTTTTTTTCCACCATTGGAGGTCTTATTTAGATATAATCTTGAAAAACTTAATTGATTTCCACAGAACATTATTTCTATGGTAATTGTTCTATAAAAGCCTCTCTTCCAACCTATTGCTATAGCTCTTTCACATGACTACCCAGATATGCGTTCTCTGCTCAGATTTGGTTCCTTACTCTAGTACTTGAATGCACTTTTTAGCCACCTCCCTTCCACTAGAATCTTATGTGACAACAGATGTCATTTTGTACAGAAAAGTAGACACTTATATGTAATACCTCTCTTATTCTTCTGAAAAAGAGAAGCACTATGATTATACTTATTTAAAAATAACAAAACCAAGATTTAGAGAGAGAAAATAACTTGTTCAAGGTCACCTAACTATTAAGTACCAAAACTTATATTTGGACTCAGGTTTTTCTAAAGTTTAACAAATACATGATATACTAAAGAGGGAGAATATTACAGTTTTTAAAAATTGCCATCAAATTTGCATTATATAATAATTAATATGTAGGTCAAAGATACAAAATAGAAAAATCTTAAAATTATTTGCATATGACTATGGAATGCAATGAGACACCCAGATGTTCACTACTCTCTACTTTTGACTGTATTTCCTTATTTACTTTTGTGTCTTTGTCCCCATATTCAAAGAGGCCCCAGATAGTTTACTCATATTTATAACACTACTGAACATCACCAGTGTTTCCCTAAATATAATGTACTTAAACCCTTTCATTAGGCAATGTGCATAAGACAACCACTTTTGAGTTGGAGTGTTAAGAAGTGTTAAGAGTTTATAATTCATGCCAGTTGAGAAGCTGTACCTTACCCACTGTACAGTACTTTAAATCTAATGGATAGTTCAGTAAGAAAAATGGCTTAACCCAAAGAATAGAAATACTCATAGCTGAATTATGATACCGTATTTTTCTTAGGAGATTCTTGAAAGGCAAAGTATAAAAGTTAGGAGAAGTATCTAAATCTCATAGTCAAGAATTAGCAGTAGCTTTATAGAGAATATGCCCCATTCCTATGAATCCTTTCAATGCTGTTAGTTTTGCCTATTCTCTAGTACATCATATAAATAGAATCTTACATTATTTGCTTTTCTGTGTCTGTCCTTTTCTCCTCAAAGTAATGTAACAGAGTTCATCCCATCATTGCATGTATTAGTAGTTTATTATTTTTTATTGTTATATAGTGCCCCTTTGTTTGGGTACACTACCAGAATTTACCTATCAGTTCTCCTATAAATAGACCTTTGGATTATTTAGAATTTTAGGTATTTTAAATAAAGATTTTATGAATGCACATATACATATCTTCTGGCAGACTTATACCCTAATTACTGCTGGATCTATACCTAGTAACAGAATTGCTACTTGAGAGGCTACACATATGTTTAGCTTTAGTAGATAGTGCCAAGCAGTTTTCCAAAGTGATCAGACTAATTTCTACTTTTTATTGACATGAATGAGAGTTCAAGTTGCCCTGCACTCTTGTCAACACTTGGTACTATTCTTTTTTAATTTTCAACATTCCGCCAGTGTGTGTTTGTACTACATTGTGATTTTTATTGGCTTTCAATTAAATATTACCAAGTTAAATTTCTTCTCATATTGGAAATCTGGGCATCTTATTTTGTAAAGTGTGCAAGTTTTTTTACACATTTCTTTGAGTTTATTATCTTTTAACATCTGTTTTAAGACTTCCTTGTATACTGTGGTATGAGTCCTTTGTTAGATACATGTATCATGAAAATGGCCCAATTAGAGCATGGCTTATTACTAGTTCCTATTTCTTTCATTTGTTATTTGTTTACTATTTGTTCATTTATTCTTTGATTCTTTTTTTAAGATTTTATTTATTTATTCATGAGAGAGAGAGGCAGAGACACAGGCAGAGGGAGAAGCAGGCTCCATGCAGGGAGCCCGATGTGGGACTCGATCCCAGGACTCCAGGGTCATGTCCTGAGCCAAAGGTAGGCGCCACACCTCTAAGCCACCCAGGGATCCCCCTGTTCTTTGATTCTTTATTCCTCTTTTACTGCTTTCTTGTGGATTAATCATAATTTTTATTATCTTCTATCACCACTCAATATTTTTGTTTCATCTCAGTATAATTCATTTAGTTTTCAGTAGAATTTGTATTGAATGAATCTTTAATACAAACAATTTTAAGTTGGTCTTTGTTTACATTTAAAAATATGGCAAATATTTATCACCCTCACACTATTTTTTGCTATTACTACATAATTTATTTCTATATGTATTATGAACGCTATAAGGCTCTGTTAGGATTGTTGCTCTAAATGGTCAATGGTCATATTTACCCACTTCAGTGCTCTTCATTCCTCTTGTACTTTTTTGCTTTTAACCACGATTTTTTTCAGCCTAAAGAATTTCTTTTAGTATTTCTTGGGATATAGGTCTACTGTAAACAAATTTTATCAGCTTTTTCCCCTAATATCTATATTTCACCTTTATTTTTGAAAAAAAAAATATTCACAAGTATAGCATTCTATATTGCCAGGTTTTCTCCAATCATTTTTTTCTTTCAAAACAACATTCCATTTGTTTCTGAATTCCATGATTTCATTGAGAATTTAGCCATCATTCTTAACATCCTTCTCTGGATGGCAGTGTGTCTTTTTTTCTGGACTTTTAAGTTTTTTCTTAAGTTTTTAGTTGAGTATGATGAGATTAGGTGAGATTTCCCTTATACATTTCATTCTTTGGATTGAATGAAACTTCTCAAACCGGGGCACCTGGGTGGCTCAGTGGTTGACCATCTGCCTTTGGCTAAGGTCATGATCCTGGGATCCTGGGATCCAGTCCCACATCAGGCTCCCCACAGGGAGTCTTCTTCTCCCTCGGCCTGTATCTCTGCCTCTCTCTCTCTCATGAATAAATTAATAAAATCTTTTTAAAAAGAACTCCTCTAATCTGTGGATTAAAGAACTTGATACAGTTCTGAAAATTTCCCAGACATTATTTCC